TCAATATATTAAAGAGAAATTTATTTTACCCCCTTGGTTTTGTTGAAAACATCTAAGTGTAATTTACACCCAGGTCAGATAGTATTATAAGGAGTTGGTTTCGTTTATTCTGTTTTTGTGTAAAATGTTATGAATCTACCTAGGGGGTGAGGGGTGTGTAAGAATGCACAGGTTCCATTACTAGACTGTTCCTAGTTTAAATACCAGTGTGTTGGCCATGAAGAACTTAACGATTTTCTAATCCCAAAATAAAAAGTTCTACAAGTTCTCAATCTGATTAAAGTACAGATCTATATTTCGTTTTTTTTTTTTTTATACTTTAGCTGGAAGATTGTGTCAGAGGTCATACAAGTGTCTTTTAACCCTATGACATCAGACATTTGATTAACCAATCAGCGTTGGTGTTTCTAGTGGGTTACCCACAGTATTGTGGACCTCACACTAAAAACTCGCCGTAAGGCTGACCTTAAAAATATCTTTGTTTCGCCTAACGCGACCGACTAACTAAAACCACCCCCGACTTAAATTATTTTATTGCACTTTTCCGCGATCTTTTTATTTTATTTTGTGTGTCAACCTGAAATATATCACGAGAGTTATTTCCCTTTATTATGGCTATGGTTTGATTCATTATTGAAACTGGTTGATCAAGACGAAAGCGTCATAGGTGTCGCTTCTCAACAAAATGGTTGCAGACGAAAGCACGTCCATTCCCACGAAATGATTCTGCCTCTATGTCTGTGGGGCGTCGTTTTAAACATGACGACGATATTTTCAATATCCGTTTTCGAGAAAAATAAAGGCACAACCCGCACGATCGTTAAAACGTGTTGAGGGAGTTTCAAACGTGAGTTTGTCGCAATTTGTGTGCGAGTCGTGCATCAAGAAAAATCCCGATGCCGATGTCATTGATTTGTTTGCCAATAAAAGAAGACGAATGTTTGCACCCGGAAAATTATCAAGCTGTCAAATTAGCTCTTAAAAAAAAAATCTGAAAAAAACCCGACCTACCGACCCTTCTCCTCGATTGTGGGTCGGGTTTGGTGAAACAAAGATATTTTTAAGGTCAGCCTAACAGACTGTTTTCATTGGCTAATCCCTCACATCATCCAGAAAATGCTGGTTACATGACAACTCTTTCCAGATCCTAGTGTAGTAAAGACAAGTAAAACGAAATTTTGAACTATAAAAAACGAAACGAAATGAATCTGTGTTTTAGTCAGATTGGCAAGTTCTGCAAGTTGGCCCAATGAAAATAAAAGACCAAATCGGTATTAAATAATCCCTGACTGAGCAGTTTTTTTTCTTGAACACAAGAACTCTGTCCAGACATAATTCATATCACCTCCACCTGTAGTTCCAAGGGATATTAAAAGGATATGTTAGTCTCAAGTGTATATGAGATAATTTAAAAAGACCATGTTGAGTTCTATGTACATCAACATTAGAAAGAATGAAACAAACATGGTACATGCATATGTTTGTTTCAATAAATTGCAAGCATGAAGGGTTGTTTATAGGAGGAAACGGAAAAACCTGAAGAAAAATTGATGATGTTACATCCATATGCTTTAGGTAGTCTAGACTTTGCCATACGTGACCAATACGTGTATTTTTGAGTGAGAAGTTAGAGTATAATGTGTAATAAAAAAAAGAACATAGGTAATATGTTTAACCATGTTATATACTACAGGTGTTTAACATCAATATACAACAGATAACTTATAGATATACAATATATGTACCATTCTCAAGGTTATATTCTACCTGGTTAAATCTATCTTTAACCAAAGTTACCATACAAACTTTTAATATTGATTACTTTTACAAGAAAACCCCATCTTTCTACTGTAGATATCTTTATCTATTCAGAACATTTATTGTAAATTTATTTTAACTGATATGATTAATTCAGTTGAGGCAATCTTTTAAACATTTGACATTTGCTGAATTGTATTTGTAGGTGGAAATATTGTTGTTAAAACAAAATTATATTTCCTTTAAAGTCTGTGATATCACCTTGATGGAAGGAAACATTAAATAAATCTTCCATACACCTTTCGTTTCATTTTTTATAGTTCAAAATTTCGTTTTATTTGTCTGTACCTCAGTAGGATCTGGAAAAGTTGTTATATAAATTGCGTTCTCGATGGCGTGAGGGATTAGTCAATGAAACCATCTGTCACGGCGACTTCTTGGCGTGCAAGGCACGGAACTGTGGGTAAACACTAGAAACATCAACGCTGATTGATTGATCAATGTCTGACTTCATAGGGTCAAAAGCCGCTCGTACGACCCCTGACGCGACCTCCCATTACAACTTGTCAGATCTTCATGTAGTGTAAGCCATCGAAAGTATAAAAAAAAAAAAAAAAAACGAAACGAAATATAGATCTGTATTTTAATCAGATTGTCAAAATGGTAAAGGAAAATGTCATTTATAATAAAGCATCTTTAGATATACATTCCCTAATTTTGAAAATAATAAGAGGTAAAAGCCAAATCATATTATACTTTATATTTTATTCATATATAGAGAATATTATACATTAAAATATTAGGTTATAACTTCTAGAAGTCATCTTTCACTTATTGGGCTATTAATTTAAAAAAAAAACAAACAGCAACCATAAAAACAACACTGAAGCTTAGCTATGCAGATTTTAAAAATTATTTTATTGTACTAATGCTCCAAGTAAAATATTTAATAGTCTAAGAAAATATTATTTGATGGAGTAATAATAAACTTAAAGCCAAAGCACATCGTAAAATATATTTTATTTGTGCTGTGGTGAGTGAAATATTAAGGCTACACTGATGTACCAGTACAAAGGTATATACGTTATATATATAGCCCTTACTGTAGAAATACCTGTCAGTTATTGGGGTATTAATTGTTATAAAGTTTTTATGATGTAAGCAGGATGAGCTTTTAGTAAAGAATATATACAGTTTTTACCTGTATTCAGGTAATTTATCCAGGTATAAATAATTATATAAATCTCAGATTTTATGGAGATTTTGGTTCCGCTTGACTGGGCATTTATACATTACCAAGATATGAGTCATACTATTTCATGGTAGGTTTCATTTGAATTTGAAATTCAACCAGATCCAACTTCAACGGTTTATTTTTTTTACAATATTTAAAGGGCAAACCCTGTTTTTATAAAATGACAATTTGATTTATTAAAACTGGATTCTCTACTCTTGACGTTACATTCACGTTTTATTTTTACATGATTATGATTTTGTAAATTCCTCTTGATCAATGTACATATACATGTGGAAAAACCCTAACTGTTTCCCTTTAAACCCAGCGAAATAGTTAAACCCAGCGAAATAGTTAAACCCAGTGAAATATTTATACACAGTGAAATAGTTATACAGGTAATAGAGGGTGTATATAATAACATCCCTTTAATATAAACCCATGGAAATAGTTATACAGGTAATAGAGTTGTACATAAGTTTCTCTTCAAATCCAGTGAAATAGGTCTACAGGTACTCCCAATCCAGTGAAATAGAAATAGGTCTACAGGTAATAGGGTAATATAACCCTTATAGGTACATGAAATAGAGGGTGTATATAATAGTTTCCCTTCCAGTCCAGTGAAAAAGTTAATAGGGGAATATACATGTAACCCTAACAATTAATAGAAGGTGTATATAATAGTTTCCCTTCCAATCCAGTGAAATAGGTAATAGTTGGAATATAACCCTAACAATTAATAGAGGGTGAATATAATAGTTTCCCTTAGTGAAATAGATCTACAGGTAATTGGGGGATGTAACCCTAACAGTTCCCTTTAATTAAAACCCAGTGAAATAGGAGTGGGGGATATTATAACATTACTTTAAACCCAATGAAATAGAGGGATGTATAAGTCAAGTACTTCCCCTTTAATTAAACCTAGTAATTATAATAGTATGTTTAAAATACCTGACATATCATTAATCACCTGTTGTTTTACAACTAGTTATCTAGTCTAGAATACCTGGTTGTATAATTACCTTATAGACTATATACTACTATATGTGACTGTATTGTACTGGCTGGCTGGCTGGGTCAGATTATAACCTCTACATTCCTCTTCTACACCCCCACTTTCACTCAACAACCAAACACCGGACATATATACATCAACACTGGCTTTATTGATATAGATATAATATTTCTACTTAACACATCAAATCAACATATTAAACACCACGGAAATCAAAGCGGTCTACATGTAGTTATTTTAAAACGCCATTTAAATTGTAAATAAAAATCTCAAAATAAAATGCTTTTCTACAAGTTCATCCTGCTGGTTTGATATTTGAGAGTCAGGACTGTAAACACATTAAGTTTTGGGATGCAGTAGGGAAGGGATCTTTTGTGTGTACACCAATGACGCACATGTACATGGATAAACTTCATATTTTTCTGTCTCATCTGAAGGACTAGGCAACACTAAATCCCCTTATCACCACCCAAAAAGCTACTTGTACATGGACACATGGACAAGTGGAAGCAACAGATGATAGGCATAATATCAAGTCTCTTTTATGACCAGTGGTTTTAGACTTAGTCTTAGATGCAGTTGTTTTACAAAATATAAAAGATTGTTTTATTTAGTGGTTTTCACAAAATATAACAAGAAAGAATTCTTAATATGTATAAGAATTAGAAAACTGATATTATGTGTTATTGACAGATTACGGGTACATGTATGTAATTTTAATCTGCACAATATCAGTAGTAGGATAGTGAACGATACATCAATATAAAACACAAATTTATATGGAAAGCAATCACTGGGTTTATTTCACACTACGTTCCAACAAGTTCCTGGACAAATGATTGCTGGACAAATGATATTACATGTACATACAATGAATGTTGGGTACACTGACATAAGACCAATAACTCAAACATTTTTTTTATGGTACAGTCTTTTCTCATTTTGTATTGTCACAATAATTGTGATTTATATTTTTTTATTTTATATTTTTAGGGGAAAATATGCAGTTGTTAAAAAGTGTGTCAATAACGAAACAAAAGATGTTGTGGCGGCCAAATTCATACGCAAACGGCGGAAAGGAAAGAGTGCGAGAGAAGAAATCTTACGAGAAGTGGTGATGTTAGAAATGGCATTTGCTCATCCACGATTGGTGGATTTATTAGAAGTTTATGAAACGTCATCAGAACTTATTTTAATCACTGAGTAGTAAGAATTGAACTATTTAATTTATTACAATTATAATGGATAGACAATGATGATCTGGACCTGTGTAGAGGGAACCTAGAGAGAGCAATTTTTATATAATTCAGCTTCATCTTAAATGACTTCTAGGAATAGGCTAGAATACGGTTTAAAGCTCCTGATCCCTATTTGCATTTTTAGGACCATATTTAATTCTATACAGCTTAATCCAGTCCTTCACATTTATGGCTCCCGCATGATTTCGTAAACTTGAAGGACTGTTAATCGAATGACTAACATACTTTCCTAAGATGAAATGTTACTGTGTCCTTACTGGAATACTTTATGATAATAGGGTAGCCAATTTAAAGGTCAGATAGATTGCCTCAGAATTGAATGAAGAAGCCAAGTAAATTTCCAGATAAAGAGAATATATTAACCTCACACCCTTGTACAAAAATCCTAGCTGATGCAACCAGTAGGCAATATTGTTGTAATAAAATGACTTTGTTCCAAAGTTCCAAGTTCTGAAGATTTACAGACGTACATGAAATACCATTGGCATGACATACATGTAACACTGTAACAGTAGCCTAGTTCTCCAAACTGTCTGCTATCATGATCAGCTGATTCATTGTATAAATGTCAGATGTATAGAATATGTTTGTGTTTCATTTTCTCTCTGCACAAAGAAATGGCTCTAGTTCCTGGCTAGTCTTTACCTTACCCTAATCATCAAGTACATGTCAGAGTAGACTTGTATGTCACACCATGTGTTAATCAGAGGTGATTGACTTAGTGTAATATTATGCTTATGTTGTGGGGTTCTCACAGGACTGACTGCATCATAGAAATTTTCATTAACATATTTTTTACCTTTTGAATTTTGTATTTCTTTCTGGGAATAGTTAATCTGTTGCTATATTTCTGTGTAGTATTTGTTTTGTGTTGCATCTATCCAGCACTAGCTATTTATAACTGAGTGAAAAGAAGTTTTCAATTTTATTATCTCTCTCTCTGTCTGTCCATGATCCCTTGTAGTCACGCTAGATGCGATAAGTTATACTTAACATTTAAACACAGTGTTTATATTCACAAAATGTCTATCGGGTTTTCAACGATTTCGATATAATTTCTTCAGGCGTTATGACCTTAGATATGTTTGAAAAATCTTGTGGATGTTCTTAACTTGAAATATATATATATGTATGTTCTTGAGGACAAAAGATATAACTAATACATGTACCAAAGCTATGTCCCTTTATCTGTTGGAAAAAACTTGTGGACCCCCTCTAGCAGCTAGACTTACATATATCATCCATGAGATAATCAGAAGGTTGTTTTTGATTTTCAATGTTTTGCTATACATTAGTTACTTGCTATTCAAAATTTGGTCTGAAGTTTTCAATAAATTTAAGGTTTATTTTTCTGCTGTATAATGAGTAATGTTTCATATCAAATAGTTTTAAATCTTACATGGTTTAATCCACACAAAATTGTCCTCAAGGGCTCAAATTGATTATTTAACATTTAGTAAAAGAGACATTATTCGAGAGCTAATTCTGTTGAAAGTTAAAAAATCTTCAATTCATGGTGTCTTTGTTAATGATCCATTATTAATTGACATTTAGGGACGTTAAAAATATGTAAAAATAATGATGTCATATCAAACAATTGGTTTTAATTTGACGTCATTTAGAATTTTGAGTCTGGTACCCAAAGGGTTAAATAAAAGAACGAGTTGTAAGATTATTTCCCGTCTTTAGATAAGTAATTATAATTAAATATAACTAATTATAATAAGTTGATTTGAATTCTATAAGGAAGTAGTTATTAAGATATTTCCTTAACTTCCTCATACAATTAGTAAAAAACCTCTAGAATTACTAATCATGCTACTTTAGTTTTCACAGTTTAAAACGACAAAAGTCTTATTATATCACAACCTTTTCGAGTTTTTGTACTTAATTGACTTGAGTACATGCGATCATTGTTTTCTATATTTGACTGGTCTCCTAAAAAACTCCTTAAGTTTAGACAATGTGAGGGATTTGGTAAATAAGAGGGATTTTTTTTAAAAAGATGGAGGTATTTAGAGTGTATATCCTGTCACTTTATTCACAAAAACTTAAACATACACTATGCAAGAGCTAAATTTTAGGCCTGAAATGTTATAAACTATTAATTAGACATTTAATAAAAAAAACAAGACCATAATTGACTCTCGATAGCATAGGATACTCAAGATTTTAACTAGATTAAAACGGTTCGCTATTTAAAAATTTAATTTAAAAGTAGTAAAGCGAGGCTAAGTCCCGATTATAACAGTGCCTTGGTTACCACTGTGCACACATCTTGTCAAAACTACAAACAATGATAACTTGGCTGAGAATGAAGTAATTTGAATGAAATTTTCAATATTTTCTTTTTTCATCAACTATTTTTGAATTATTATAGCAAGAATGATCAACTCTTTATTAAACTCTTAACTAATGTATCTTTAAAGCAAAATATTTTAATAATTCCAACCTTTCATTGGCCACAGAGCTAAAATTTGTGCTAGAAGTTAGTAGAAGCTATTACTATTAGATCAACACAAAAGAAGTGGCAGTTACTGAAACCCTTACATTTTTGTCTTGGACCTGCACCGCCTGGCTGTTTTTCAATGAAACCAGTATTTTTGTAATAAGATTGTGTTTCTCTACTATCCACCAAAATTACCCTACTTTTACTAGAAATAACTACCAGATAATTACTTTACAATCAATTTATAATTTTTAGTTGTGATCAAGTTTTTGCATCACAAATAGCAAAATAAAGCATTTTATTCAGTAGATTACTATTTTTTTATGGGCCATTTTAATGGTTGACACCATCTCGACTTGTGTTTACATGCAAAGATAACAATTAAATAGAATAAGAAATAATTGTATTTTAAATCATCTGTTTTTATGGTGATTACAAATTAAACTTAAAAAAATTAGGAGTCAGAGTTGTGTTTTTAAACATGTATCACAATAATTATATTGGTAATCATTCAAAATTTTCATAGTCGTATGTTGAAACCTGGTTTCCCCTTGTCAGTGGTGCAGGACGGAGGGCTTGAGAAGGACTGCTGTCTAGTCATTTGGATGGGATGAAAAACTGAGGTCCAGTGTATACATTGGCATGCACGTAAAAGAACCCTTGGCAGTTGGAATTCGATACAAGAGTAGGCCATAGTGCCGCTGCCCGGGCAAAATGTCCCTCGTAGCACACTGTATGGCATATGCCCGTCTTCATTAACCCAGTCGGAGCAGAACAGTAGGACCCTAAACTCCATTTCATTTCATTTTTCATACATGTATGTTTGACCAAGTTTATGAATGTAGTTGACCTGTGGTCTGGATATTGACCTGACATTAAACTAGTAATGACCTGTCTGTCTAGAATATAGACATGTAGTAGATGACAATATGTAGATTCATGTTGTATGAAATCAGTCAGGTAGAAATATCTAGTTACACCCTGTATCATCTGGTAATGTAACATTGTTTGTATCCTGTAACATATGGATGCTTATAACAGATTAAACTGGTTCTAATAATTACACTAATAATCTGTCTAATGTCACTTGTCTCATGGATGGTCGCTTTTACTAATCATACATAAGATTGACAAAGACAACGACCCCTGAATTTAATGGTTGCTTTCCTAACCTTGTGTCCAAGGGTAAGATTACCGGTACTTGGTTCAGAACACCTGATGCCACTTTGATTTTGGAAACAGTGGCTGTACTTTTTATCCTGCTGTACCACTGCTATTAGAGCCATGTGTTCCAGAAAATAAAACAATAAAACCGTTAGACTAAAAATGACTTAGATGTTGTAGGTGACAAGGAGTAGGGTCGCCTGTCCAACCTTGTGTGTTTTCTCCGAGTACTCCACTTTCCTCCCACTGCTAAAGACCTCTACACGCTAGCGAATTATTGAAATTGAAATAAAATTGAACCATAAGTTAGTCCCGAAATGATTTGGTTTGTGTTGAGTGGACGTTAAACCCCATTTCTCTCTCTCTCTCTCTCTCTCTCTCTCTCTGAGATGTTGTTATGAAGTTTGTATGTGTGTATCAATAAATTCTAGATGTGTGTATATTGTATGTTTGTGTATCAGTAAATACTATGTATGTTATGTGTGCATGTATATCTGTTATTGTTAATGTATATTGTGTTTTTATGTATTAATTTACTCTGTGGTACTACCATACTGGGTCTGATTGCTACTCAAATTCTCTTCTCTTCTGTCCCAACTTCTCCTATCTTCTTGCGTCTTGGATTGTTATAGCTAGACATAGTCCAACTTGCATGTATTTGATTTTGTGTATATATACATGTATATATGTGTATTACTATATTCTATGTTTGTATATTTGTAGTTGTGTATTAATATATTGTGTATTATTTCTAGTTGTGAAGGAGGAGAATTATTCCATGAATGTGTAATAGAAGAATCATTTAAAGAAGAAGATGTAATAAGATTGGTTGTACAGATATTAGAGGGTTTAGTTTATTTACATGAACAGAATATAGTACATTTAGATTTAAAGGTAACGATCTTCTCTTCTCTCATTTACCAACAATCTGATTAATATACAGATCTGTATTTTGTTTCATTTTTCTGGCTAATCCCACACATCATCAGGAACGTGTGTTATATAACAACTCTTCCAGATCCTGGTGTAGTAAAGACAAGTAACCATAATTTTGAACAATAAAAAAAACAAAACAAAATAGGATTTGTGTTTTATTCAGATTGATTTACTAATGAAGGCTCAGTCTCATAAATTTATTTGATAAAGAGTATTGTCGCCTGCCTAACATTATTGCTTTTAAATATTGGTCAAAATAAGCTTCTTAGGTCGAGTAGGTTATCAATGAAGGATCAATACTTTATAAAGAGTATTGGTCGTAAAGATTGGATATTTTGTTAGGATTAAGCTCATAATACTGATTGTTTTTTTTTTATTTTCAGCCACAAAATATATTATTAACAAAACCGTTTCCACATGGAAATATTAAAATCTGTGATTTAGGTTTTGCGTGTTTAGTTCATGCTGGTGAAGATATACGAGATATTATAGGAACAGCTGACTATGTTGGTAAGTTAGTAATATTAATATTGGTCAGGTTACAGTATCATCACATCATTCACAAGGACGACAGCTTCTCATTCTTCCAACATCGCTCTCACCTAGCCAGACCATTGATTTCATTTGTTGTTAATGAATGCTTAACTTCTGCTTAGTCCAAGGGTGATATCGCAGTTGTGTTTCAGAGGCTAGTCTAGTATAGAGGCTAGTCTACATGTAGTATATAGTGGGAAGAGGCGAACAGGAAAGGAAATTCATCAGCTCCATTTCCTAGGTTTTGTTAGATCACAAGGTCTGTCATTGAGCCAAGTGGCGTGGTTTTGATTCCCAGTCTGTACTTGACAAGGAGTAGGATCGCCTGTCCATCTCATGGGTTTTCTCCAGGGCCTCTGGTTTCCCCACACGCAAAAAAATATTATTGATATAGAATTAAACCATATGTTAGTACCAAAATGACCTGATTTGTGTTGAGTGGATGTTAAACCTCATTTCTCTCTCTCTTTTTGAATGATCAATAAACTGTACTGTATATTTATAGCACCAGAAGTTTTAGATTATGAACCTCTCAGCATCATGACTGATATGTGGTAAGTTCAAATTTTACCATCTTTAAATTTTAGTCGAAGCATCCACCAAGATCATCCATAAATCATGCCCGTCAGAACGAAATTCATATTGGGGGGGGGGGGGGCTGTCAGCTTAGCGGGGGCAAATTTGGGTTTCGGGAGCTTTTTAAGCTAATAAAAGCATATTTGTAAATTATTGGGTTCCGACAGTCCTGATAAATTCATAATTATGCTGTATTCATGAAAACGTAACTAAAATATTTTGATACTGCATACTTTCCATTATCTGAGTTAAAATCATAAATACAAATTAAAGACCTTAGTGATGAAAAGACGGCATTCACTGTACTTAAAATGTTTTAGTGTCAGTTTTTCTGGGGCTGGATTGTCTACGTCCTTCTGCTGCATGTTTTAGGTTTGTCTCTAATGTGGTTGTAGTTTTCGATCATCTGTGTTGAAAGGGTAATGTTGACAGCCAGTTTGTTACTCGAGGTTCAGCCAGGTTTCCCTCCCTACTGCTAACGGCTTCAGCTGACAAGCAAAACAGACTATTATACTGAAGTAACCTAGGGGGGTTGGATGGCCGAATGGTTAGCACGCGCGCGCTGTATCATAAAGCCTGTCATTGAGTCAACTGGCGTGGTTTCGAATCCCCATTTGTACGTGACAAGGAGTAGGGTCGCCTGTCCAACCTCGTGGGTTTTCCCCAGGTCCTGTTCTGAAATGATTAATGATTGAAGGGAGACAACTCTTGTTTTCTTTTGACTCTCTTTTTTTTGGAGTTAAAAAATGTTGTAAGAAGTTGAGTTGGCAGCCATATTTTGAAACCATGTGTTTTTCTTTGTAAAATCTTGTATAGTCAAGATGTGAGTACTGAGTATAGAAAGGCAACAGCCTTTAATAAACATGTTTCCTATATAATCGAGTATCGTTTCTATAATCCAAAACATGGTCCGACGAGACGGATACAGTTATGTCAGTCAATCTGTTGAGTTAAGTTCATGTGCCAGTCGACCTTATTATCTTAATCCTATAAAGTATTGACATTTATTATCATGTCTACGACCAGTAACGACGCAGACAGGCGTAGTGATGTGGCCAAGAAAAACAAACGCATCAGAGGGGGACATAGGGCCTTTGTTACCCGAATTATTCAAAGTGTTCAAGAATTATTAGCCGAATTTGATGGATCTCCTTCTTCAGTTGAAAGTTTAGAAGGATACAGAATTTCTTTAACGGAAAAGAAAGTTGTTTTAGCATCTTACGATGAAAAAGTATTGGAAGATATTGAAGACGAAGATGAAGTGGGTAATGATATTTTTGAATCAAGTGAATTTGCGGACACTATTAATAGAACTTTATATAAAATCAAATTTTGTTTACATAAGAATGAGAAGGCCAGTGAAAAATTGAGTACCAGTATAGCTGATAATTCTGATTTGAGTAGCCCTAGTAATTCATTGAAAGAAACTTTTGTCTGTAAGACTAAATTGCCAAAATTGTGTTTGCCTAGATTTTCTGGTGATTCAAAGTTGTGGCAGCCTTTTTGGGATAGCTTCCAGGCTGCAGTAGATAATAACAGTGCCATTTCAAATGTTGAGAAATTTAATTATTTAAAGAGTCTGTTGGACGGACCGGCATCTTCTTGTGTAGCAGGTTTGTCCTTGATAGGCGAAAACTATGATGCAGCAATTCAGCTTTTAAAAGATAGGTTTGCAAATAAGCAAGTTGTTATTTCTGGGCATATGGACGTTTTACTAAATTTACAATCTGTTACGAGTGGTTGTGAAGTTAAACATATTCGCAGATTATACGACACCATTGAGGTCCAGATACGAAGTCTAAAATCTATGGGTGTACAGTCTGAATCGTATGGTAATATTCTTATTCCTATTATCATGAATAAACTTCCTGAAGAGTTACGTTTATTTATTAGCCGTGGAGTTAAAGATTGGAGTGTGGACGAGGTCTTAGATATTTTAAAAACTGAACTTGAAGCTAGAGAGCGAGTCGATTTAATGCATAGTAATTCTACCAAGAAATCCGGGTATTCTTTGAACAACGTATACAGTCCTCAATCCAGATCGAACCGGGTTAATCCCTCAACAGCTTCAACTTTATTTTCGAGTAAAGATCAAAGACCTGTTCCGTACTGTGTGTTTTGTACTCAGCAACACCCATCTGTGAATTGCACTTCTGTTACCGACATTTCAGCTCGCAAATCTATTTTACGTCATAAAGCAAAGTGTTTTTTGTGTTTGCGCTCTGGACATGTGTTACGAAATTGTCCTAATCGTGACTATAAATGCTTTAACTGCGGAGAAAGACACAATAAAGCCATTTGTACTTATAGGCCTGAACAAAATTTAAGGCGGCCTAGTTATGTTAATAAAACTGAAACCGGACAACCGAGTCAAACTGTGACATCTAACATGACGTGTACAGATGATCAAAATTCTATTTTGTTACAAACTGCTGTAGGTTTTGTATGTGCTAATCATAATGATAATTCTAGGGGATTGTATAAGAACATTGTATTTGATTTGTGTAGTCAAAGAACATATGTTACTGATGAAACACGTAGATTGTTAAATTTAAGAACTGTGGGGCGTGAAAATTTACTTATTAAAACTTTTGGGGAGGAAACTCCTAAGTTACGATTATGTGATATTGTTCAATTTACTGTTGCAGGTGATGATGGTTTACATTTGTATGTTACAGCGCATTGTGTACCTTCTATATGCAATGCCATAAGCGACCAATTAACATGTAATGCTTTAGTAAAGTACCCTCATCTACGGGGTTTGAAATTAGCTAATCCATCTGGGCCTTCTGATTTTGCAGTAGATATATTAATCGGGGCAGATTTCTATTGGAATTTCTTTTGTGGCGAAACGAGACGGGGGGAGTTCCCTGGCCCGGTTGCAATGTTGACGAAACTTGGGTGGGTGCTGTCTGGCCCTGTAATTAATAATTCGAGTAGTGACCAATGTACTATTAATTTAAGTCATACGCATGTATTGCACGTTAGTTCTGTATCTGATGACAATTGTGATGTATCTTCAATTAAGTCTGAGTTGAATAAGTTTTGGGAGCTTGAATCTTTGGGTATTCGTAATGACGAATCTAGTGTTTTGTCAGATTTTAATGATAATATCACATTTGAGGGTAAAAGGTATGAAGTGAAGTTACCATTTAAAGAAAATCATCTTAAAATATCTGATAATTATTCTACGTGTGTTAAACGCTTATCATCTCTTTTGTATCGACTTAATAGTAAGCCGGATGTTCTTAAAGAATATGATAGAATAATTAATGAACAATTATCTGAAGGTATTATTGATATTGTAAATGATGATGATGTAATAATTAATTCTGGATCAATACATTATATTCCGCACAGAGAAGTTTTACGCTTAGATAAGGACACAACTAAGTTAAGAGTTGTGTATGATGCCTCGTGTAAAACAAGTGGACCTAGTCTTAATGAGTGTTTATACTCGGGCCCTTCTTTAAATCCGCTTATTTTCGATATTCTCCTTCGTTTTAGAATGAATTCCATCGCTCTGACTGCTGACATACAGAAGGCATTTTTGAACATTGCCATTTATAAAGAGCATCGAGACTTTCTTAGATTCTTATGGGTTGATGATCCATTTAGCGAGTCACCTAAAATTAAAGTGTTTAGATTTAATAGAGTGGTCTTTGGAGTGACTTCAAGTCCGTTCATTTTAAATGCAACCCTTCGTTATCACTTAAGTAATTCTATGGATGATAACTTAGAAATTTTGAATAATATTCTTAAGTCATTGTATGTTGATGATTTTGCTTCTGGGGCAGATAATGTAAACTCTGCTTATGATTTATGTAAATTAGTTAAATTATGTTTAAATCAGGGTGGATTCAATATGAGAAAATGGTGTAGTAATTCGCAAGTGTTAATGTCTATGCTGCATGAGTCCAGTGATTTTCCTGAAGTAGAATTTGATGTTAAGAAAATGGAGACTGATGTAATCGAAGACGATACAGGTTATAATGATTTTGTTCAGAATTCAAATTTTGATTGTAACAGTGTTTTAGGTCAAAAGTGGGATAATAGCGCTGATATGTTTCAATTCGAATTTGATAAAATTTTGTCAAGTATGATTGTTAATGCAACTTTAACTAAAAGACAGGTTCTTAGTACAACTGCGAAATTCTTTGATCCAGTTGGTTTAATATCACCTATTGTATTACTGTTTAAGCTATGTTTTCAAAAGTTGTGTGAAAATCCTTTAGACTGGGATGATCCGTTAGATAATAATTTTTGTGATTATTGGAATAATTTAGTGTCTAGCCTATCTGCTGTAAAGGCTTTGCACATTAACCGCTGTATTTGTTATGAACTACGGCAAGCGAATTCTATTCAATTTCATGTATTCGGTGACGCTTCCGAAAAGGCGTATGGTTCTTGTGTATATATCAGATGTGAACATTCAGATACTAAAGAAATACACTGTAATTTAATTGCCTCTAAAACGCGTGTGGCGCCTTTAAAGAAACAATCTATACCCAGACTTGAGCTACTAGCATGCTTAATATCTGTTAGACTAGCTGCATGTGTAAAAGAAGCTTTAAAGGACATCGTAGATGCGCCTGTATATTTTTGGTCTGATTCTCAAGTCGCGTTATCTTGGATTAAAAATACTACTCGTGAGTTTAAGCAGTTCGTGAATAATCGTGTGGTTGAAATTCGTGATTCTTCTGACGTTAGTAAATGGTCTTACTGCTCAACTAAAGAAAATCCTGCAGATGTTGCTTCACGTGGATGCAAGGCAGTAGAATTGGTAAACAATGATCTATGGTGGCATGGACCACCATACTTGCTAAGTTCGACAGAGAATTGGCCGAGGAACGTTGAAGAAACTTTGAGTGAACCATTTTATTCTGAAGTTAAGAAAGCAACTGTTTGTGTCGCAAATGTCGAAACTAATCACAATATCGAAAATATACTAGACGTTTCCCGCTATAGCAACTTTAAT